ATATATATATATATACACACACACGCACACACACACAGTAGCGGAACAAGTCAGCGTCGAGCCGGGGGTCGGGGCCAATGACCGGGCCCCTCACGTGTATCACCTGCGTTGCTGGAAACTGTTTGGGGGGGGTTTGTTTTGTCGTTTGATTTTTACCCAGGAAGCACATTGGCTAAACCGTGAGTGAAACAGTCACTGGGAGTGAATACTATATATTCCATTGAGGGACAGTAATTTTAACATTACATACACTTTTCTGAACAGGCGAGGGCGCACTTTCTCCGTCTATAATCAGAGATCCCTGGCACCTCCAGACCCGGGCCCCCATGGGCACCCATCCAGCTCGCGCCTGTATATATATATATATGGAAGTACGACTGATATATATGTTTATGTTAAAATAATTACCAAGATTCTGTGATGTTTTACCATTGAATGAAGAAGAGTCCATGTTTTTATGGTTGTCCTGCTTGTCCATTTCTTATCTGTCCTCCATTAATCTTTCAGTGTATTCAGCCTTCCATCTGTTTGTCCATCAGTTTGTCCGTCCATCTGTCTGTCCATCAGTTTGTTTGTCCATTGGTCTCCCTATACTTGTTGCTTTTTGCAGGTTGTGTCATGTCTGACGTTCGATGTGATTTTCTAGAAAAGTTTTGTCTTTACACCACCAGGTCTTCTGGGGAAGCTTTAAGTCGTGATGCATGTTTTTATTGTCCACATGCTGATTCCTCAGACAAACTAATGGCTGGATGTTTGTGACTGTTTGTGTCCATCAGCATTCAGCGCTACGCCGTCATCCCTCTTTCCACCAACTCGGGCCTGATTGGCTGGGTGCCCCACTGCGATACGCTGCACGCCCTCATCAGAGACTACAGAGAGAAGAAGAAGATTTTGCTCAACATTGAACATCGCATCATGCTCAGAGTGAGAGTTCACCTCAAAGTTTGAATAAGATTACTTTTTGTTTTTAAATGTGTAGAAAAAGCTGGAAGTTGGACACAGATTGGTTTGACCTGGGTTTGTTTCAGATGGCACCGGACTACGACCATCTGACGCTGATGGAGAAGGTGGAGGTGTTCGAGCACGCCGTCAACAACACGGCTGGAGACGACCTGGCCAAGCTCCTGTGGCTCAAGAGCCCCAGTTCTGAGGTACGATGCTGACTCCTAACTTGGGCTGTTGTAAACGAATATTTTAGTAATTGAGTAATCCATTGATTATGCTTCCAATTAATCGAGTAATCGGACTAAACAAAAAGATAAAATAAAATATTGGTAAATCTAGCATAACACCAGTGTTGATATTTGATATTAACATCAGTCCAATTTTTCATATTTGAGCATCCCTAACAGTTACTTTTCAGTAGTTTAGAAAATTAACCTGTAACAATAATACAGGTTTCTAACTTAACCTGAAGAAAAGTTATAGAAGAACCCTAACCCTGTTACCTGTGTTCCAGGTGTGGTTTGACAGAAGAACCAACTACACGCGCTCCCTGGCTGTGATGTCCATGGTCGGCTACATCCTGGGCCTGGGCGACAGGTGAGCTTTCCCTCATTAATACAAACCTTCTCTACAACCATAAAGCAACTAACGGTGGACTTCCTGTTACCCAGACATCCATCCAACCTGATGTTAGATCGGCTCAGCGGCAAGATCCTCCACATTGACTTTGGAGACTGTTTTGAAGTGAGCAGTAATGTTTTTCAGTCTGACAGTTGTCTTTCTGTGATTAGTAAGAAACTCACCGGTATGTTAACGTTGGCCAGGTGGCGATGACCAGGGAGAAGTTTCCTGAGAAGATCCCATTCAGACTGACGAGGATGCTGACAAATGCCATGGAGGTAATGCTGTGGGAATGCTGAGAGGGAACTGATGATCTGTGAGGATTTACTGCAGGAGTCTCTGGGGCTCCCAAAATGGCTCCTAATAATTTGGCCAAGAAAGAAGAGAACCAACATGTGTTTTTACACAGATTTTAGCTGGGGCTATTTTTAGATAAAATAATTGCATTCACTTTCCACAACAGAATTACACAATTATCAGTAGTATCTAATATTTTCTTTTGCATCATTGGAAACTACCGTATTTTCCGGACTATAGAGTTTACTATAAGCCGCATCTACAAAGTTTAAAAAAAAAAAAAAAAAAAAAATGGAAACGAAAAAATAAAAGCTGCCCCGGGTTTTAAGC